GAGGAAGTCTCTTCTAAAGATGATGCACGAGAAAGCCCGCAAACAGTTTGCTGAGGACAAGCAGACTAAGGACATGGATTACTGGAACCATGTCCTGTGGTCTGCTGAGACTAAGATAAACTTATTTGGTTCAGATGGTGTCAAGCGTGTGTGGCAGCAACCAGGTGAGGAGTACAAAGACAAGTGTGTCTTGCCTACAGTCAGGCATGGTGGTGGAAGTGTCATGGTCTGGGGCTGCATGAGTGCTGCTGGCACTGGGGAGCTACAGTTTATTAAGGGAACCATGAATGCCAACATGTACTGTGACATACTGAAGCAGAGCATGATCCCCTCCCTTCAGAGACTGGGCAGTATTCCAACATGATAATGACCCCAAACACACCTCCAAGACGACCACTGCCTTGCTAAAGAAGCTGAAGGTAAAGGTGATGGACAGGCCAAGCATGTCTCCAGACCTAAACCCTATTGAGCATCTGTGGAGCATCCTCAAATGGAAGGTGGACTAGCGTAAGGTCTCTAACATACACCAGCTCCGTGATGTCATCATTGAGGAGTGGAAGAGGACTCCAGTGGCAACCTGGAAGCTCTGGGGAACTCCATGCCCAAGAGGGTTAAGGCAGTGCTGGAAAATAATGGTGGCCACACAAAATATTGACACTTTGGGCCCCATTTGGACATTTTCACTTCTGGGTGTACTCACTTTTGTTGCCAGTGGTTTAGACATTAATGGCTGTGTGTTGATTTATTTTAAGGGGACAGCAAATTTACACTGTTATAGCAAAGTGTCATTTCTTCAGTGTCGTCACATGAAAAGATAGAATAAAATATTTACACAAATGTCCCTTTGAAAAATTACAATATTAAAATTATTTAGCCACAAAACCACAATTCTTTGGCTATATACAGTTAGGTCCATATACAGTATATTTGGACACAGGCACAATTTTATTTTTTTTTACAGGTATTTACCAAAACATTTTCAAGCTATAGTTATATAATGGATATGGGCTGAAAGTGCACACTCTCAGGGTTAATTTGAGGGTATGTACATCCAAATTGGAGGAAGGGTTTAGGAATTACAGCTCTTAAGAGTAGCCATCCCTCCTTTTTCAAGGGATCAAAAGTATTTGGACAATTTAATCAAAAGCTGTTTCATGGCCAGGTGTGTGGGCTACTCCTTCGTTATTTCTTCAGCAGGTAAAAGGTCTGGAGTTGATTCTAAGTGTGGTATTTGCATTTGGAATCTATTGCTGTGAACCTACATCATGCATTCAATGGAGCTGTCCATGCAAGTGAAACAGGCCATCGTAAGGCTTCAAGAATGAAACAAATCCATCAGACAGATAGCAGCAACATTAGGAGTGGCAATAGAAACAGTTTGGTACATTCTGAGGAAAGAAGACTGCATTGGTGAGCTCAGCAACATAAAAAGGCATGGACGTCCACAGAAGACAACAGTGGTGGATGATCACAGGATCCTCTCTATGGGAAAGAAAAACCCATTCACAACATCCAGACAAGTGAAGAACACTCTCCAGGAGGTGGGCGTATCATTGTCAAAGTCTACAATCAAGAGAAGACTTCACGAGAGCAAATACAGAGGGTTCACCACAAGGTGCAAACCATTCATAATCCTGAAGAATAGAATAGCCAGATTAGACTTTGCCAAAAAAACAACTAAAAAATCCAGACCAGTTCTGGAAAAGCGTTCTTTGGACAGATGAAACTAAGATTAATCTGTACCAGAATGACGGGAAGAAAAAAGTGTAGAGAAGGCTTGGAACAGCTCATGATCCAAAGCACACAACGTCATTTGTAAAACATGGTGGAGGCAGTGTGATCGCATGGGCATGCATGGCTTCCAGTGGCACTGGGTCATTGGTGTTTATTGATGATGTGACAGAAGACAGAAGCAGCCGGAGAAATTTTGCAGTGTTTAGAGATATACTGTCAGCCCAGATTCAGACAAATGCAGCAAAGTTGATTGGACGGCACTTCACAGTACAGAAGGACAATGATCCAAAACACACTGAAAAAGCAACCCAGGAGCTTTTGAAGGAAAAGAAGTGGAATATTCTGCAATGGCTGAATCAATCACCTGATGTCAACCCAACTGAGCATGCATTTCACTTGCTGAAGGCAAAACTAAAGGCAGAAAGACCCACAAAGAACCACTGAAGACAGCTGCAGTTAGAGCCTAGCAAAGCATCAGAAAGGAGGAAACCCAATCTTTGGTAATGTCCATGGGTTCCAGACTTCAGGCAGTCATTGCCAGTAAAGGATTCTCAACAAAAATATTACAAATGAACATTTTATTTCTGATTATATTCAATTGTCCAATTACTTTTGGCCTCTTGAAAAAGGGTGATTGGCTACTCGTAAGAGCTGTAATTCCTAAACCCTTCCTTCAATTTGGATGTACATACCCTCAAATTAAACCTGAGAGTGTGCACTTTCAGCCCATATCCATTATATAACTATAGCTTGAATATGTTTTAGTAAATACCTGAAAAAAACTAAAATTGTGCCTGTGTCCAAATATATATGGACCTAACTATATATATTTCCTTTGAAAAATTATACTTTAAACTTTTTTAGCCATAAATCCACATTTCTTTGGCTGCTGCTTTTTATTACATTTTATAGTAAAAGTCTGATATCCATAATAACCAATCCTAAGCAACAGTTTGATAGAAAACATGCGTTCACTTCAGGAATATATTGGGATTGCAACGTAGATAAGAACTGCTTTACAGTGTTATATGACACAAACATTCCCACTGTCCCTGCAGTTCATCTTTTTCACTTGGTTGACCTCCTATCCTAATCCAATAGTTACCAGAATCTTCATCTTCTGAACGGTATGAATCAGAGTCTGGAAATATAAAGGCTAGTCTGTTCCCTAGTTTTTACCTACAGCTTATCCTTAGAAGCCAAGACAAAGCAGTCGTTTAAATAATATAATTTTTATTAAATGTAAAGAAATCAACATCTGCATTGACATAATATATATTAAAAGAAGGCACTAGTCAGGGCTTATTTCACATGCCCCTTCCATATGTTCTGTTTGTGATTTATATCACCTCCTTCACAAGCAGCCTATCCTGTAGCTGCGCAATATATACATATGAGACAGTCTTTATAAATTCCTCTGATCTGGATTTACACATATACAAAAACATTACTTACAGCCTTGTATAAATATTTTCTCTCTCTTTCAATGTGTCGTCTAGGCAGTTTGAATATACAATACACTGCAAACCCCTGCAGCACAAATATAGTATATCGGTTTTTATCTAGGTATGTACATTATACATCTCTGACGGCTACCAAGGAACTACCAGCCTCAGCATGCCCTGGCAGAGAATACTGAGATGTGTAGTTGCTTACTGTAAGCTGCCTGTTGGCCAGTTTTGATATGAGAATAATAAACGTTGTAGGGTATTTCGAAATTGTGCAACAATTTTCTCCATTATAAAGCTCTGTTGTGAGTGATGCTCAGCATTTTAGCTGACATTTCCTCAGGTACCACTAACAGTGCCTGTCTCTTCCCAGGGGGGAAATTATGTGAGACGTCTGCATAATGGATATGGCAATTCTTCCAATGAAAGAAAAATGATAAAAGAATTAACAGTAGGTCAAATCAGCAACATGCAAAAATGTGTTTGGAGTTCTCTTTTAATCTCTGCCCATTTGCAATCTATATATTAATGTTCCTCAGTCTCACGCCCCATGTTGGAGATATGTTAGTAAAAGTCTTCCCTTTGAGAGCCACCAGTCAACACATTGCATACCTAAGGGCTCTCAATTCCAGCTGCCACTGACATCTCAAGTCCTCTGTGAGATGCGTGAACCATTTTTAGTTGTTTCAGATAATATGATTACTATGTCAGCTATGACTTAGTGATCACTTGCAGGCTTGTGGCTTTATTGATGACACAAGTCTTCAGTCAGCTCATGGCATGGCACTGCTGATACCACTGCAGCCTGAAGTTGGCAGTGTTCATCTATTTGTTTAATATTGCAATTGTCAAATGCAATTAGAGTATTAAAAATAGAAAAGTGCAAAAACTGTATTTTTTTTTTCCAATTTTGCACACGTGTCAGCCTATAATAAAAACAGAGTAAGGTTTCTATTAAAACAATGTACCAAATAAAAACCTTGCATGTAATTAAAAAAATATAAAAATTACTTAGGTATGCAAATTAGTCACAGTTATTGTTAAATTAGCTGATGCTGTTTAATTTGATGTGCCATCAGTGATCTTTGGTCATGAAAGAGTTTTGGCATTTCACTAATTAATAACCCCATGCTGTGGCCAGGCAGTCCAGAATACATGCAGTGTTAATGGTGCTTGAAGAAATGTTCAGGAAACACAGTTTATTTCTCTAACAGCATCTTAAAGAGGAACTTTTGCTATGTGCTTTTTCTATTTGTTCCAGCGCAGGTTCAGGAACAAAGGAAGAATCTGGCTGGCTACTATGGGCAGCACAGACAATTCTTTTTCCTTTCAGTCCCCCCATTCCCCACGCTCTGTATTACTTACATTAGCGATGCTCTTGTACAATGAGCCATGCTGAGTACATACACTGTAAAGTATAGTATGGCATACAAGCTTAGCTCATTCTTTCCACAGTCCAGTTTTAGGTCAGCACATAGCCATCTTTTAAACAGAGTGCTCAGTGGCTGGCAGGTTCTGAGAGGTAAAACAGACATTTCCCAAACATAACCTTTCCAATGTCCTGGTTGTGGTGACACTATAGCCACTGTTTCTGATTCTTTCTTGCCACCTCCATACCATCCAACAAACACAGTCTGGCTTTTGGCTTAGCAGAACATATTTCTGCAGGGAAAGCTTGAGTCTGATGTCTTGGCCAGATGCCAAGCAGATTTGCAGAGCAACGATTCAGTGACGTGCGACTTCAGCAGTTGGGAGGATTTGTTTTATATGCCACAGAGATCATGTCATTAATAGCTTTGATCTCAGCTTGGTCTGTATTCACAGTATTTCAATGTCCCATTTCTGTGTCAGGGCATCTTCCTGGCCTGTGTTTACTATCAGGTAGTTCTGATCATAGTAATTTCCACCTAAAAAAATTCAGAGATATAAATAAAATTAGCATAGACGTGCTGACATTGTGGTGCAAAAATGCAGAGTTTAAGATCCATTCCACAGAAAAATGATCCTTTACAGTAGGGGAGGGTCAGCCATGGGAAGAAGAGCCCTCTGGTTTCTTATATTTCTCAATAATTCCATTGGTTAGATCTCTCAGAAGTTAGGGAGAGGAAAACATATGGCATCCTTACAGCAATAATGCAAATGTAAACTGGATTCCTCTTTTTATGTGACATAGGGGGACAATTACTAAAACTGGAGCACACAGAATCTGGTGCAGTTGTATATAGTAACCAATCAGCTTCTAACTTCAGCTTGTTCAATTAGGCTTTGTCAATAAAACCTGGAAGTTGATTGGTTACTATGAAGAGCTGCACAAGTTTTCATAAACATAATTGATAAATCTGTACAAGCTGCCATGTGTCACCCCTAAATATAGATCATTGGCTCCTGTACTGTTATTAATGTAAGTGCCATCTATGAACTATTATATCAATGTCATTTATTCCTTGCGTGGTTACTAAGAATATGTTAGATAATAAAGACAGAGATTCTGCTGTGCTACTAAAAGTTTGCCAAATATTTCCAGACTGATGTAGCAGGCCACAAAAATCCAGAAATATAGGGAGGTATGTTATTAACAGAATTTTGTGGGTTATTTACTAAAGCTGGAGAGTCCAAAATCTGTTGCAACTCTGCATAGAAACCACACACCTTCCAGGTTTTATAGCCAAAGCTTAATTAAACAAGCTGATGTTAGAAGCTGATTGGCTACCATGCACCAGATTCTGGGTGCACTAAGTTTAGTAAACCTACCCCAGTGTGTACTTATGTTATTGATAGCAAGCAGTCTAATTCCTGTGCCAGTTATTCAGGTAAAAAACACTAACAGACCGGGCACTAGGATCAACCAGACACCTCCTTTTTCCCACTAGTTTTTTAGATTATCCAGGTCAATGTTGAAAATCTGGATGTGGGGTGAGGGGGATATCTATATACACTACTCAAAAAATTAAAGGAACACTTGTTAATCAGAGTATAGCATCAAGTCAATTAAACTTCTGGGATATTGATCTGGTCAGTTAAGTAGCAGAGGAGGTTGTTAATAAGTTTCAACTGCTTTGCTGTTAATCAAATTAACACCAGGTGCACTAGATGGGCAACAATGAGATGACCCCCCAAACAGGAATGGTTTTACAGGTGGAGGCTACTGACATTTTTTTCCCTAGTTATCTTTTCTGACTGTTTTTCACTAGTTTTGCATTTGGCTAGGGTCAGTGTCACTATTGGTAGCATGAGACGATACCTGGACCCTACAGAGGTTGCACAGACGGTCCAACTCCTCCAGGATGGCACATCAAAACGTGCCATTCTCAGAAGGTTTGCTGTGTCTCCCAGCACAGTCTCAAGAGCATGGAGGAGATTCCAGGAGACAAGCAGTTACTCTAGGAGAGCTGGAAAGTACCGTAGAAGGTTCTTAACCCATCAGCAGGACTGTTATCTGCTTCTTTGTGCAAGGAGGAACAGGATGAGCACTGCCAGAGCCCTACAAAATTACCTCCAGCAGGCTACTGTGTGAATGTCTCTGACCAAACAATCAGAAACCGACTTCATGAGGGTGGCCTGAAGGCCCAACCTCCTCTAGTGGGCCCTGTGCTCACTGCCCAGCACCATAGAGCTTTATTGACATTTGCCACTGAACACCAGAATTGGCAGGTCTGCCACTGGCGCCCTGTGCTTTTCACAGATGAGAGCAGGTTCACCCTGAGCACATGTAACAGACGTGAAAGGATCTGGAGAAGCCATGGAGAACATTATGCTGCCTGTAACATCGTTCAGCATGACCGTTTTGGTGGTGGGTCAGTAATGGTCTGGGGAGGCATATCCATGGAGGGACATGCAGACCTCTACAGGCTAGACAATGGCACCCTGACTGCCATTAGGTATCGGGATGAAATCCTTGGACCCATTGTCAGATTCTACACTGGTGCAGAGGATCCTGGGTTCCTCCTGGTGCACGACAATGCCCAGCCTCAGGTGGGGAGAGTATGCAGGCAGTTCCAGGAGGATGAAGGAATTGATACCATTGACTGACCCCCACGCTCGCCTGCCCTAAATCCAATAGAACACCTCTGGGATATCATGTTTTGGTCCATCCGACGCTGCCAGATTGCACCTCAGACTGTCGCGGAACTCAGTGATGCCCTGGTCCAGATCTGGGAGGATATACCCCAGGACACCATCCTTCGTCTTTATTAAGAGCATGCCCCGATGTTGTCAGGCATGCATACTAGCACGTGGGGGCCATACAAACTACTGAGTACCATTTTGAGTTGCTGCAATGAAATTTCAGCAAAATGGACTAGCCTGCTGCATCATTTTTTCACTTTGCTTTTTGGGGTGTCTTTGAATTCAGTCCTCTGACTGCCAATCAACTTCTAACTTCAGTTTGTTCAATCAAAGGATAAGTTCACCTTTTAGCCAAAAATAATGAATGCACATTTTTTTGCAGGTAAAAAAATGTGCATTTATTATTTTTGTCTACAGGAGCCTGGAAGGCATTGATCAGTAGATCGCTGATGCCATGTAGGTCTCCTACAGACCTGTCAGAATATCTGCTTGCCATATGGGATGTACGAGTAAGCAGATATTCTGACAGGAAGTTTCAATGAACTACCACAGCTCTCCACAGCGCCATGGTAGTTCACTGACAACTACAAGCCATCAGCAGCTAAGCATGTTGGGAGCATGTGGGTGGAGCACCATACAGCCGCGCTGTTTTCAAATTTGACAGATAGTAAGGGAAAAGTCTCCCCGTACTATCTGTCAGAGGGAGGGGGGGCGACGAGGGGCGGCTATGGGAACATGTTATATGTTCCACCCTAAAAACAGATGGAACAAGTAACATGTTCCCAAAGGGGAACTTATCCTTTAAGCTTTGTAATAAAACCTGGAAGCTGATTGGTTTCTACGCAGAGCTGCATCAGATTTTGCACTTTCCAGTTTTAGTAGTAAATAACCCCCTATGTGTGTGGCACAGAGAGCATTTAAGACAACAAGATCTGTGAGTAACCCTAACATATCCCAAATACTTGGCCAAGATTGATGTAGTTCAGCAACAATCTGATCACCTCTTGCTTTGCAGTCATTCTATGCCAACTTCTTCACATTCCTAATGGACATCAGTTGTGTATCTGTGGCACAAGTGTACATATCCTACCTTTGACATCTAGGACAAGGTCATCACTTATATATGAGGAGATGGTCCCATCCTTGTTGATCTTCCATTTTTGTCGAGTTTTGCCATGTTCTGCCCATAGTGACACTTTTGATCCAGGGATGTTTTTGCCTCCAATAACGTCTATGCATAAATCATTTGCCTGAAATCAAATACATATGTGTCATTGAATTAAGCTTTTAAGTGTGCCTATGCCCAGACAATCAACATAAAGGTATTTACACATTATTTTCTAGGAGTATAAAAGCTTTAAAACAAGCCATCCCTGCTTGCACTGTGAAGTAATTCATTCTTAAATGCTTAGTTTGCCTTTTTGACCATGTTTCATGTTACACCCATATTTAGGGTGTAAGAAGAAGCATGGCCGCATACCCCAACCCCCCACCAACAAATCGCCCCCCATGCTTACCTGAATGGTGGAATGGGAATTGAGTGTGGCTGTGCATTGCTTGACCCACATAGCCACAGGAATTTGTGAATGAACATACTACCAGTACCTAGGCAGAGGGACTTAGCAGAGCAGCTGGCAGCTGTACAGACCTGGAGCTCTAAGGGTAAGCAATGCAAGAGTCTATGCACTGCACCTGTGATCATGGTTGCAATGCTCTGTAGGACTGAATACAAAAATGTAATAAAAGCTAATTTTGTTTTTTAATCATTGTGATTGCATTTATTACACTTTTCCAAAAGGCCAACTATGCTTTTAATGATTCTCAAAGATCACAATAAAGACTCAAAAGTCAAACGCTCAGATTGAAATTCTCTACAACGTCTATAGTTAGACTAGTCAGCACTTCAGCCTCACTCACAGCACTAGGTCCTCATTTCAAATTCTGGCCAGGACACTATCTGCATGTAGTTTGCATGTTTTCCCTGTGTTTGGCTGGAGGAGCCAAAGGGGCCAGTCTTGTTGCGGGGAGGATCGGCGGGTCAGGTAAGTATATCTCCGCTCTCCTTACCCGTAGACAAAAACAAGCGCTTAACTAGCACTTAAATTATGCAGTGTGGGCACAACCCCACTGCATTAAAATTGAGTGGCAATTTTAATGCAAAACAATGACATACTGTAGATTTTAAAGCTATCTACATACTATTCAGTCTCCCCCAAATGTTGTTCTTTTTGGACTGTAATTATTATAGCACTGGTGAGTATATCAGCAGTAAATTGTTGTATTTGTGAATATGGTTGCACAAAGATGTATTTGGTTTCTGATTGGTTGGTGCAGTGGTGTAAGCAAGCATCTAATTTCAGGTTCCTTTCAGGACACTCATCTGATGTTATGAAAGCGTTGCTCCAGAGCAGAATGACAAAGTATTTGAAAAAATGTTCTTTGAATTTGAAGCTTCAGATGGTAATATAAGGAGATAGCGGCTGTCTATGTCTTGTGTCTTTTCAGTATGTGCAGTGTAACAATATTTACCTTGGATTTTAGGAAGCCTCGAGTGAAGTACCATATCTGAGAGCTCTGTCCATTCCTGGATGAAACGCTAACAAATGTAGCTCTTGTATCTGACAATTTCTCAGTCGCAGTCAGGTACTTGTCTTTGTGTCTGTTCCTTACCATAAAGTACACAGCCGGCTACGAACGAGAAATTTTAAATCAAGTCTATTACATGTGAAGACACAGTATGGCATAACAATTATCTATTTGTTATATTTATACAGCAATCACATGCTATTCAATGCCTTACAGAGCACATAGAATCATTCACATTGATCTCTGTCCCCCTGTAGGGTCAACAAATCCACTGTCACTTTTACACTCATCACTTAGTTTCAGATGGAAGTCCTTACCAGTATGGTTTTGGAAGCTGAATCTCATAGGAAATCCATGAAAAAATAAAGTATAAATCATCTTAAAGGATAAGTTCACCTTTGCGAACATGTTACTTGCCCCATCTGTTTTTAGGGTGGAACATATAACATGTCCCAAATGCTGCAGACGCTGCCCCCCCCTTCCTCTGATGGAAATATGGGGAGAAGTTCCCCGTACTAGCTGTCAATTTTTACAAACAGCGTGGCTGTGCAGGGCTTCACCCACATGGCCGCGTCATTAATTCACAGTGTTCTGTGAACGAATGAACTACAAGTCCCAACAGCCTTAGCAGCTGTCGGCTTGTAGTTCTCAATTAACTACCATGGTGCTGTGGAGCGCCGTAGACCACCATGGTAGTTCATTGAACCTTCCTGTCAGCATGTCTACTTGCCTGTACATTCCGTGTGAGCATGCAGATATACTGACAGATCTGCAAGAGACCTACATGGCACCAACGACCTGCTGAACATTGGTGCAATACTTTACAGGCTCCTGCAAAAAAAAGAAAAATGCTAATTTTTGTACCTGCAAAACAAATGTGCATTTACTATTTTTATTCAAAAGGTGACGTTATCCTTTAAAGAAGAGCTCCAGTCTAATTTTGAAAAAATAAAAGTCAACAGCTAAAAAAACCTGTAGCTGCTGACTTTTAATAAACAGATACTCACCTGTCCCAGGATCCAGTGATTTCCTCACCTGAGCCCTTTGTTGCACCAGTCTTCAGTCTCTGGCGGCAGCATCTTAACTGTGGGCACCCTGTGGTTTCACAGCCAGGTGCACACTGCACATGCTTGTGCCCCGCTGCGCAATGTGAATGGACCCACAGTCTTCTGGAACCTCTGGACATGTCTGCGGTGAGGGATGAGGGAGAAGAAGTTCTGCTCAGATCACCTATGCGATCCAAGTGGATGTGGCAGCGGGTACATGTTAAAACCAGGTCCCGGTCCCCCTCCTTCCCCCAAAGAATTGCTATTTGTTAATGCGGAGTGGGGGAGGCCTCAAAAGCGGAACTTGCCCTATTGGGTAAAGCTCCGCTTTAACTATTTAAGTTCATGTTGAGCTTTTGATATTTAGGTAAAACACAAAGCTAACATGAGTCATATGGAGCTCCGTTATGGACATGTTCTAATTACTACTTTATCCTTGAGTTCACTAAAACTAACTACACAGGCTTTTTGTCTTATCTTTACGACTTTTGTTCCATATTGATAAATGGCCCTTCACTGAAATTGATTGATGAGTACTGTTCATAAGTTGCTTTACCGGTTTTAGGGGACGAAGGGACCCGATTGCTTTCCAGCCACTAAACTTTGACCAGTTTAGTATTCGTTGGGGGTCCAGTAACATTTGTCTTCCTAGGAAACTGGCACCTTCAAATGCTATCCACCTAAAAGAGAATGGACACATAATTCATTGGTTTAACAATAAAACATCAGTTTTAACGCAAGGTTCTGGGCGTCAATTGTGGGTTTGTCAGTACTAATAATGAGTCAGGTATGCTGGGTATAACAGCACAGGCTTGCTTCCCAGGGATGGATACATGGACTATATTCTACAGAATGCGGCCAGGAATGGCAGCTTGTACATGAGCCCATATATAAAAGATGGTGACAAAGACATGTATCTTAGTGTTGCTGTGCAGAGAAGGGGCATGTGCAAATATTGTACTGGGCTATATGTATGGAAAGGATGGGACTTTTCTCTGCCACATTCAGACATTGATTGTAGCACCTGCTTATATGCATGGCCTCACTTCACTTTAACAACCCACCATAACAACTTGGGAAGAGATATTATTTTATTACCTTCGCAGCTCAGTATTATGGATGACCTTACAGGCAGCAATCAGGTGGGCACTACACATCAGACAAACCATTAGATGCCGCGTGAAGTGCTCTTTCACTGCCCACCTGCTAATTCTTTCTGCCCTATAATTTCCAGTAGAGCCATTTCATGTGGTGCTGTGTCATTTACATTGATGTCGTTACACCAACTTTCCTGCTGCATTTCTATGATTTCTTATTATAGAGGATTGAACTCACAGAATAACTATGTGATTATTATAATAACAGGATGAACATGCCTATGTTAAATGCATCAAACCAATCATTATGGTCATTATTTTCACTGTCATGGTTTGTTACTAGGAACTATCTTAAGTTCACCTTTACAAAACCTCACCTCCTGTAATATATCCAGGTAAATTAAGCAAATACTGTACTTTGAGCAGTGCACTGAACTGTCAACGATCCCACCTATTTAAATCTTGTTATATTTCCTGTTAAATCCATCTGTAGGTTTTATCTGCAAATGATCTAGACAGTATGTAAAGATCACCTTTCACCTTTATAAAAGAGATCCCTCTTTAAACTCATAATACATATACAGTATATATTAGATTTCCCTAAACTGACATTGATGATATGATTATACATACTAGTGTAGTTCAGCAAATGCACATAAACTATGTCCACTGACTCCAATTTCGGGTAAGAGAGCACTACTATAACCTCAGTGTTTACCCAATGAATATACAAAGAAATATTTAAATTTAAATCAATATTATTATAAGCACCCAGTGTCTACAGGTGATGAATGCTAATGAATAACGTCCAAAAGAAATTCCAAATAAAAGTAACTGCGTTGTATCCTCTTCCAAATTCCACCACGTGCTTCATTGACACCCACTCCCTGCAGGCTACTTACTCACCAAATTATAATGCCTCTCATTTTCATGAAAGGCAAACTGTACTATTATCTATGCACCACTTGTCAATCCCAGCTGGGTCATCCGCTCCTCCTCTTCCTGATGGACACACTCAATAGCAGAGAAGAAAAGGGCCAAACAGTGTAATATTGCTAAAAAAATCTTTATTCCATCATTCTCCGCCAAAAATACTACTCAAAATCATGAATAATAAATAGGCTTTTCAAGCATCCAACACAAATTACTCCCTCCCGCCAAAGCCGGAACACAGGCCAGTACAAGCGGATACCATTGGCATCTCACCTGGGACTGCAACTAATTGGACGAAGTAGTAAGGAGGAAATGCGTTGGGACGTGGCTGGAAGTCATACGTTGTAATGGAAGTGACAAACCGGAAGTGATGGAAGAGAGGCCTGCGTGAGACGTCAATGGTATCAACTTTTACTGGCCTGTATTCCTGCACTGAGCGGCTTTGGCGAAATGAGTGATTTGTGTTGGATGCTTGAAAAGGCAAAAGCAATCTGAAAATGTACTGCGCTCTGGACAGCAAAGCAAGTCTAAACAAGGTCATAGATTTCTATGGGGCTATTGAAATAATGCAAATTGTGATGAAAGGGACATGGGGTATAATTTCTGAAGTGAAAATAAAGCAAACTCTAGCAGCGTGTACATGACTGTAAGGTAACCGTTTAATTTAGAGAGAGGTGCTTTGATTGGAATTCAGAGTGCTTTACAAAAGCATGTCAAATGCCTCATTTTGAAGCAAGTATAAATGAGGCCTTAAGAAAAAAAAAAAAAAAGCAGCATTAAAAAGCCAAAGAACCTAACACACAATATATGGACCATAAACAGTACATTAAGCTCCAATGTAGTGTAGTCCTCCTAGATTGTAGATTGTAAGCTCGAAAGAGCAGGGCCCTCGATCCCCTCATGTTTTGCATTGTATTGGTATTGTTCTGTCACATGTTCTGTCCCCCTTTGTAATGTACAGCGCTGAGCGAACCATTTGCGCTTTATAAATACTGTATAATAATAGTCCATTTAGGGTAATAGTTTACAAAGGTTAGGAACCCTACACAATGTGACACAACCTGGGCTTGGACTGCATCATAGAAGGAAGAGGAGATAGTCACATTCTTACCAAAACCAGAAAGCACCAAATATTTATTAGGCTCTAGTGTGCCAACTGAGCAGCAGTGGTGATGGGGCAGGCGGTAAACTGCAGAATAGGGGCAAAGCTATGCTGCCTGAATGGCTAATCCATTTGCTGAATGGGCAACATATAGATTCATTTAACTGCAGTTACGTATAGAAAGCAATCAAGCAGAATTCACTCCACTGAATTTAATACAGGTTATAAGTACAGAATGGATTTTGGTTGGTTACTGTGTGTTACTTCATCTAAAGCCCAACCCTAGCCAAAACCTTTAATTTAGCTTTTCATAAAGTAGAGAACCTTTATCCAGGTTTTGACTGCTATTTATAATCTTAATGGAGAGATTTCTGTTCATTTATCAGCTCCTTGACCTCAGAACGATAAATGAGAAGTGATATCATGGGAATAAAGCAGATACAAACAGCAATATAAACTTGGATCAGGGTAGAACATGTAGAAAGAACTTCAGAGGTGCACTGTTTTTTATTGAAAATTGTAAATGAGATTTTTTCCCCCAGTGTAACTAGAGAAATTCATAAGCGATTGTAACAAAGCATGTTCACAAACATACAGAACTCTACCAAGTATTTTTACATCATCTAAACATAGTTTGTTTGCAATCCAGAAAGACATGTTTGCACCTTAAGGTTTCAGATCGGAAGCAATCATCCCCAAAGTGTGAAAATTATGCAGACCGATATAAATGCCTTTAAAGACATATGTTCAAACCTAATTAAATGAAGAAAATCTTTACTGCAAGTTTTGTGCTAGTCTTTTAATCTGACACTGTACATGAGGTGCACTGGATCACATAAAATTGATGTAGAGAGCTCTGTCCTGAAGGTGCCCTTGGCAATCACGGAATCTCATTTTTTATTTCTGTACTATTTTTGGACACTTATTTTTTAAATTCTGTCATTGGTTTTTTTCTGAATAATTCTCTTGAGGCCGATACTCTGCAGTGGACCAGGCAAAAAGATATATTAAACATGTTTTATCTCCTTCTAAAGATGTGACTGGTGAAATGTTCATATACACTATAACCATTTTGATTTCTTGTTTGCAATCTGCTTAGAATGCAGAATTATTATTAAATTTAAAGGGTATACAAAATGGACAACTCGTGTTCTACTATGGCCAGATTAATCAGAAGAATTCCAAGCCCAAACACAAATATGGAAGTTGCACACCATTACTGAACGTTCAGTGATATCGTGATGGAAGTAAGCATAGCAACATGTATGTTATGTGTCTGCCAATATGTCATCGAGTTATAAAGGCCTGTAGGAGTAAAGCTGTATTTCTGTTTTTTGCTAAACTAAGATGAATTATAGTAGAAAAGAATAACCACAGTAAAGTTGAAATTCAGGCACACAGCTAAATACAGTATATAGTACATATGCAGTTTTCCTGGTGGATCACACGTGGCTTCAAAAACAGTATACTCTTTATTAACAGCTAAAGGAATACGCACATATGTACAACTTTAACAGTCTCACCAGATTTCCCTTAGAAACGTTTTTTGCTACCTGCAACTACTGTACGTCACTTTGTTGAATCCCTGCTGAGAAACCATACCTCTCCAAAAATGCTCACATGCTTTTTATCGCTATATAAAAAAGCCGCAACAACAAAGGGCATTTTGTCCTTGAGTTAAGCCTCTGTCCAGGGGAACACCTTTGAGCACACGCTGCTTTACTGATGGGAATGAGATTTGCACAAGGCCCTTCCCCTTGAAGATTGGGCTTCAATTTGGCAGCAACCTCTAAATGTTCCCACAATATACAAGCTTTAGCAATAAAGCAAATTTTGTCTGAAAATGTTTACTAAACTATTGGTTTTGGGTGCAATGACCCTTTAAAGAAGCAATCCATATTTTGGCATTTCAGATTTTGATCCATGCTGGTCAGCTGTCCTGATGGCTAGCTTTTCTTTTGCTTCTGCTGGTAAGATTCCACCTCCTATTGTTCCCGGTTATGCCTCCAATTGAATGCCCCACATTTTAATAAGTGCAAAACACAAAATGCAGAGTATTTAGATTGCAAGCTCTCAGGTACAGGGCCCTCCTAACCCTATTGTATTGAATTGGTACTTTACTGTCTGCCTTTGTATTGTAAAGCTCTGCACAAATTGTTTGTGCTACATAAATCCTGAGAAATTTAATAATAGCACCTAACAAAAGCTGTGCAGGCAGGTACTTTCCAAAATTTCCTGCAACTAGGCTAATGTTGCTGTAGGCCTCTTGGCAGCCTCCCTGACTAGAAAAATGGTTTCACCAGAAGAAGATCAAAGTTTTGGAGTGGCCCAGCCAGGGCTCACACCTAAATCCAATTGAAAATCTGTGGGGTGACCTGAAGAGGGCTGTGCACAAGAGGTGCCCTCAAAATCTAACAGATTTGGAGCACTTTTGTGAGATGTGCCACGTTGATAGACTCTTACTCCAAAAGACTGAATGCTGTTATAACATCAAAAGGCGCTTCAACAATCTATCAATTTAAGGCTGTGAATATTTATGGAACCGTGT